CAGGAAAGTTTTCAATGGGCATCGATCCTGTTGGAGCGCTAGAGATTGTGATTTGGGAAGGGGAAAAGAGGAAATGGCGTAGCGGACCGTGGAATTCAGCTATCTTTACGGGTATACCGGATATGTTCCGTTTCACGAATTATATTTACGGGTTTAAGCTCTCTACTCCGGATCGAGATGGTAGCGTGTACTTCACGTATGTTGCCTCAGATAGTTCCGATTTCTTGAGGTTTTGGATTAGGTTTGATGGCGTAGAAGAGCAGTTCAGATGGAATAAGGATGCCAAGAACTGGACATTGCTTCAATGGAAACCGAGCACGGAATGTGAGAAGTATAACCGTTGTGGTAATTATAGTGTGTATGTGATGATAGCAAGGAGTTTGATTCCGGTAAATGCAGTTGCCTTGATGGGTTTGAGCCTGTTCATCAGGATCAATGGAACAACAAGGATTTCTCAGGTGGCTGCAAGAGAAGAGTTCCGTTGAACTGTAATCAGAGTGTGGTTGCGGATCAAGAAGATGGGTTTAAGGTACTTAAGGGAATTAAGGTGCCTGATTTTGGATCAGTTGTTTTACATAACAACTCAGAGACCTGTAAAGATGTATGCGCAAGAAACTGTTCGTGTCAGGCTTATGCGGTTGTATTAGGGATCGGATGCATGAGTTGGACCCATGATTTGATCGATATGGAGCATTTTGAACGCGGTGGAAACTCTATAAACATCCGGCTAGCAAGTTCTGAACTAGGTTTGTAAAAATATTTAAGCTCTCAAATAACATTTTGAAGGATTTAAACATGACTAATCTGAAATCTGTATTTTAACTATTTTGGCTTCTTTTGTTGTGTATATACAGGAGGTGGAAAGGAAAAATCGAAACTTTTGATAATTATTTTCAGTGTTATTGGTGCATTCTTGCTTGGATTATGCATTTGGATCTTATGGAAGAGGCTTAAAGGTAAAGTCTCTATTCGCACATAGTCTTGTTTCAAAAGAATTAACTGCTGAAACTGTCAATTACTTCATGATCTGCAGCTTTCTTGAGGAAGAAGAAAGATCTTCCAGTTTCTGATATCAGAGAGAACAGAGATCACTCGGTTAATTCCTCAAGCTCGCCGATCAAAGTTCTAGTAGGGGATCAAGTTGACACACCCGATTTGCCAATTTTCAGTTTCGAAAGTGTAGCCTCAGCAACAGGAGATTTCGCTGAAGAAAACAAGCTTGGACAGGGCGGATTCGGTACTGTATAAGGTAAATCAATTGAAAATCAATTTTCCTGACAATAATAATATTGGATAACAAAAATTTGCCCTGTGTGTGCAAAAACTTATGTGTTATGTTTGGACAGGGAAACTTTTCAGAAGGAAGAAAGATTGCAGTGAAGAGACTATCAGGGAAATCTAAGCAAGGACTAGAGGAATTCAAGAACGAGATCTTACTAATCGCGAAACTCCAGCATAGGAATCTTGTTAGACTAGTAGGATGTTGCATTGAAGACAACGAGAAGATGCTTCTCTATGAATACATGCCAAACAAGAGTTTGGATCGCTTCCTTTTTGGTATTGTTTCTTTTACTAAACAATTTCAATAAAAATGTTCTGAAATTTTTCGGATTGAGTATATAATGTCTCTGCGCAGATGAGAGTAAACGAGGAAGTTTGGACTGGAGAAAACGATGGGAGATTATTGGAGGAATCGCGAGGGGATTGCTTTACTTGCACAGAGACTCAAGACTAAAGATTATTCACCGTGACCTAAAAGCTAGCAATATCTTGCTAGACACGGAACTGAATCCAAAGATTTCTGATTTCGGTATGGCTAGGATATTCAACTACCGACAAGACCAGGCCAACACGATCCGAGTCGTCGGCACATAGTAACTAAACAAACCTCTTTCTCTCTTGTATAAACAATAAGAAACAGTTTCAGTTTCTAATGATTTGATGTTGAACATGTGAAGTGGTTATATGGCTCCGGAGTATGCAATGGAAGGGATATTCTCAGAGAAATCAGATGTGTATAGCTTTGGAGTGTTGATATTGGAGATTGTGAGTGGAAGAAAAAACCTTAGCTTTCGAGGGTCTGAACATGGAAGTCTCATCGGTTATGTAAGTTTCTTTTCTTTAACCGGAAATTCATAGGTGTGATCAACCTAATTTATGATTTGTTAACGGTTCTGATTTGTTTGTTTGTTTGTTTGTTACTAATGTTCTAAACGGAAAATCAAACTCAGGCGTGGCATTTATGGAGCCAAGGAAAGACAAAAGAGCTGATAGATCCAACTGTGAAGGACACTAGAGACGTAACGGAAGCGATGAGATGCATCCACGTGGGGATGTTGTGTACACAAGACTCGGTCATGCACCGACCAAACATTGGTTCTGTTTTGTTGATGTTGGAGAGTCGAACTAGTCAACTTCCACGTCCGAGACAACCGACCTTCCACTCGTTCTTGAACTCCGGTGAGATTGAACTCAACTTGGACGGTCACGATGTTGCATCGGTCAACGATGTTACTTTCACAACAATTGTTGGTAGATGACTCATTGACCATAAGTTATTATTCTCTTATTCTTCCCCTACGCTCTTGGACTATTCATTTTGTTTTGAAGTCTTTTCTACATAGTTTTCAACCTTTGTACATGATTATTGATTAAAATTTTCGTTGAAAATACATAGATAATAGGATTTGTACATTGACGATAGAAATTAAATCGGATTTGTACACTAGTTGTTTTTTTTTTGTTTGGGGCAACATACTTAATTGTGAAAGAAAAGCGTTGTTGTTTATTCGAACATGAATTGGAGATGTTGGAAAATGGACAATGAGTTTCCCGTAGGAAAACATTTCTAGCTAAAAGGAGGACGTGGGTATTGAAAATTTGAGAGTACCAAGTAATGGAAAGACTTGCACGGTTGTATTTTGGAAGAATTAATCTTGGTGTTTCTAAAACTTCAAAATCGTGTATCACTTCAGTTCACCCGTTTGCTTCATGACCAGTGGTAGATTTTTTAAAAAAATTTATAGGGCAAAATATTTTTATTTTTATAAAATTTATTTAAAATAAATAATGTTTATACATTATTTAATTATATGTGTATAAAATGATTATAATTAATTAAAGACAAAATAATAAATATAAATTTATAATTAACATTTAGACAAAGAATAAAAGGGAAAAAAATTCATATATAAGAATAGATACTTAATAGTTAATACAAATACAAATTATAAATTTTAGTGTAGGGCAAATGCCCCACCCCTCTAACACGAATGCCGGGACTGTTCATGGCTTATATTGAGTCGGTGGAATGATTGTCTTTGTTTCCATGGAATCAATTCTATAGATTTCAAATCACTGTAAACATTTTCATTTTAATGAATATTCACATTCTATATATGTCGTTTCAAAGATGTGTCTTGACGTCTTGGTGATGATATGATTAAGTGAATATATATAACAATTATTTAACATTTTTTTTTGACATGGATTATTTAAGATATATAGAGTAAAATGTTTTGAGAATTAGAATCCAAATATATTGTGAAATTTATGGTTTATCAACGTTCTCAAATATATTACCCCTTTTTAAATGTTTTTTTTAACTTCTCCCCTAGTCCCAAAAAACGTAACAAAAAGGGGTAATAATTAGGAACCGTTAGATAACTTAATGCAAAGAATAATATAGCTTATTTAAGTTAAGAAGATGTAACTTACCAAAAAAAGTAGTCTATAACTTAATGCAATTATCTATCAAAGTTTAATATGACGATACTGTAGAATACCTTTTTCACCAAAATCATGATGCTAAAAAAGAAATCCAAATAGCACTTGCTTTGATGGCGGTCTTTCTAAAAAGAATTTACTTGGTAGAAGTGGTTTTTCCATTTGTAACAATTAATTTTTACTTTAACAAATCCAAAACCATTATTAGACAAAAGAATAATGTGATCATCTCTGATATATGCATTTAGAAGATGTAGTTTAGCAAAAAAGTACTGAATACACAAAATTATGTGAGCAGCCCATAAAACAATCTGTTGTGGAATTAGAACATGTGATGTAAGAACTTTGGATAATGAATGGTAGAAATTGAGCCAAAATAAAATAAAATAATATGTAATATAGATACGGTTAAAAAAGACTTTTTCATTGAAGTCATTGGCTCAAAGTTTTTTTATTTTGGTTAAAAAAACTTTGCATTTAGTCAAGCTACACTATTTTTTTTGGTTATGTTTTGCTTAATTTTTGCTTATTTTTTCTTTTTATGTTTTGCTTAATTTTAGCTTATGTTTTGCTTAAATATATAAAAATGTATATGTATATCTATAAAATAGCCACTTATATCAAAATCGAAACTAGAGAAAAAATTGAAAGGCTAATTCTAAATCCATTATTTTTGGTATTTTAGATGAATTATTGGTTCGATTCATATACTTTAGTAAAATGGAAAAAAAAAAAATAGCCGCATACTAGCCTCGTGTCCTTGGGTGACTTATGCTCCAGCCACAGAATTTGTAGTCCCTGAGAAACCTCCCTCCGTATCGGAATCGTCCCCTCGGGCCATGTCGATCTGTTACGGTGCCACGTCTACCAGGTAAGTTCATATCCATTTTTGGCTAGATTAGTAAAAAAATTTGGTGTCTCTTGTATTATATGCGGTTTCAAAAAAAAAAAGAAAAAAAAAAGAGGATGATGGAAGGATATATAGACGTTGCGGAAGGGTTTCGTGGCGCCATGGCGGCCTGGAAGATCGGGTTATGAAATATTGTTTCCCTCGAGGTGATTGACTAAATCACTTATGGATTTAGATCTCAATAAATAGCAAGTGTTTCCGGCTTACTTCTCCCAGTTCCAGGCAAAGAGCTTAAGCAACAATGGGAAAAATTGTAGATAGAATTTCTTGTATTAGATGGAGTATAAGGTGTATATATGTTCTGGCTTCATTGTTCAAGTAGTGGAAATATAAATGTTCAAAATTAAGGAAGATGAAAGCAACATGAAAGTACTAGTAATACTCGTTTCGATATTCAATTATATAAAAAAAAAAGCTGAAGAAGAGGAGTGAGATGATAACCTTAACGAGATGAATCTGACTTGAAGACCTTAATGAAGCTAAAGAAACTTGGTTATACTTATAGGCAAGTTAATCTTTTTTGTAACATATAAATAAGTATAATAAAGTATAGGGTAAGATGTTCGCCCTAGCCACCGAGAGAGTCCCAAAAGGTGATTTCAAAGCTTCGTCAGATTCAAGTCCTCTCCGTGCTTGAATCTCCGACCGTCACCTTCCTCGACCCTCGAGAGCTTCTTCGATTGGCGTTAGCTCCGTTATTGCAAGTCTCCGCAAGCCCGTCTTCCCGCAGCCCGAGTTTTCTCCGCTCACTGGTTTCATATTTCAGACCACGAGTCTCCTCCTCCGTCAGATCTGGTGAGAGCCTTTGAAAGTGGTTCAACATCGCTGTGTGATTAGGTTATTCTCACCGGCGTTTTAGTTTTCCTCGATTTTCGAGAGATTTTTCTTCAGTTGAATCTCCGGTGAATTGTTGGTGTTGGTCTTGCAAAGTTCTGTTTCAAATCCAAAGACTCAAACCACTATTAACTTTATTCCTCGGCTCTCGAGAGAGAAGTTAATCCCAGAGATATCTCAGCGAAGCTTTTCTCTGTTTGGATCTGTCCATCATAATTCTTGTTGTCACGATAAGTTCCTTCCTCTTATCGATCTCGTTTTGAAGGTAAAGGTATAAGTCTGTCTCGGGTGGAGGATGAGGATGAACCAGTTATCTTGCCCCCAATAGATAATTCTCACTTTATGGAGAGATTCAGAAACACTCTGATTGGGAGAACCTTCAACCATGAAGGTAGAAGTATTGAGCTTCTCCTTGTTGTTATGCCAAAATCTCACATCTGGGATGTGGAAGGAAGAGTGAAGGGTTTTGATTTGGGCAATGGCTGAGTTCAGTTTGATTTTGACTCTGAAGAAGATCTGATTCAGGTCCTTGCCAAGAGATTATGTCATGTTTCCTGCTTCCCAAAAATATTCGTTCAAAGCTGACAAGCGCGATCGCAAACTTTTGGTGCAGCTCAAAGCAAAAGAGTAAGGAGCTACATTGAATTGCTTGGGACAAACTTTGTCAACCACTCTCTAAGGGAGGGTTAGGATTCAGATACTTCGAGGATTTTAACCTACCGCTGCTAGCAAAGCAACTCTGGAGATTAATTCGATTCCCAAACTCCCTACTGGCTCGTGTGCTAATGGGTCTATACTTTAGGTACTCTAGCCCTCTCTACGTCAAACCATCTTACCGGCCTTCCTATGGTTGGCGTATCATACTAGCAGCTAGACCTCTCTTTCTGTCCGGGCTGAGGAAAAACATCGGTTCATGTTTTGACACTCGGGTTTGGTCCGACCCTTGGATCCTGACCATCCTGGCTCGTCCAGCAAAAAGTAGATTAGCAACCACGGATCCCAACCTCTTTGTTAATGATCTCATAGATCTTGTTTCGAAAGGCTGGAAGGTTGACAGACTACGAGAGCTAATAGCATCAGACGACATTCCCCATGTCTTGAAGAGAGCGGTCTGTTTTTAACTTGAATGGATGAACACGTCAAAAAAAAAAAAAAAAAAAAAAAAAAAAAAAAAAAAATAGGAACCGTTAGATTAGATTCATATCGGACGGTTAAGGCTTTGATACCATAGCCGACTTACATGAGAGCGAAACACTGGAAAACCCAATTCCCCAATTTCTCCAATCTGAGAAAAATAGGGTTTCTGATTCAGACATCTGATTCGTCTTCTACCCAATTCAATCTTCGTCGCCAATATGCCGCAAGACACTCGAAGAACAACAATGACCTTGCGTATTTCACTTACGACGAGAAGAAGAAGTTAGGTTATGGAACTCAAGAGAGAGATTGGGGAAGACTCGATTAAGCCCTTTGATGCTTGTTCTCTCTGCTTGAAGCCTTCATTGATCCGATGTGTTGCCATAAAGGTCATGTCTTTTGCAGAGAGTGTATCCTCGAATGTTTCCTTGCTCAGAAGAAAGATATTCAAAGGTATAAACTTTTTGGAGTTTTTCTTTCAAAGTTTGCAACTTTATTGTTCCTTTGTTCTGTATTTGTGAAAATATCAACACTTTGGATTGTCATTGAAGTTTCTAGCTTTAGATCTTTATAGGGTTGTTGAATTCCTCATGTATCTGGTGTGAATTGGATGATTGAGGTTCTTAGATCAAGTCATGGATTAGATCAAGTCTCTTAAGCATTACTTTGATAACAGTTGTTCTTCAAAAGATCTGATTTTTAATTTAATGCTTGAGTTGGGTTTGTTTAGTAAGAGTTAGACTTTTGAGTATACCTTAAGGAGTTCTGGTTTTGTTACTACTAGTCCCATAGCTTTTGAGAAGGAGAAGATGATAAGTTGACTTGAGTTTTCGCATGATAGTTTCTAGCTTAGGATCAAGTCATGAAGTTTCTAGCTTTAGGAGCTAGATAGGATTGCATCTGGTGTGGATTAGATGATTGAAAGTTCTTAGATCAAGTCATGGTCTCTACTTGCTTAGATTGATTCGTTGGATTTCATTGTAGTCATTGTCTGAAACGACATCTTAAACATATTCTGATAACAAGTTGTCCTTGAAAAGAACTGATTATTAATTTAATGCTTGAGTATGGTTTGGTTAGTAAGAGTTAGACTTTTGAGTATACCTTAAGGAGTACTGGTTTTGCCACTACTAGTCTCACAGTTTTGGTCCCACAGTTTCTGAGAAGGAGAAGCTAATAACTTTACTTGAGTTTTAGCATGAAAGCTTGGATAAACCTATGGAGTGATTACTAAAGTAATGTTAAGAATTGATTTTGATGCTCAGATCAAGTCTCTATCTCTACTTGCTTAGATTGGATTCGTTGGGTTAAATGAGTACGGGTCTAAGGGTTAGCCTATGGTTGCATGTGATTGTTTGAGCTTGTATATTAATAATTGCCGGAGTAGAAACTTTTGGACCCGACTCTCCTCATTTGTTAGGACTTAGGACTTGTTGGGATTTTCAAGATTGCGTTTGTTTTAAAGATTGTTATATCTGATTTATCATTGTTCTGTATGTTTAAGATACTGATATGTAGTACTGAGATGTTTTTAGGAGGCTTGCTGCACATACGTCTCAAAAGAAGCAAGATAAGGATGAAGAAGAAGAGAGGCTAATGTTACAAAAGGCGAGAGAGCTCGACGAATTTGATCAAAAACCATAGTGCAATGCCTCGAAACAGTGATAAGAACCACAACGATGACAAGAATGGTTTTCATGGGGCGAACAGTGTGAAGACGACTTCCTTTGAAGAAGAAGCGCTTAAGACGATGAAAGCCTTCTGGCTCCCATCAGCTACACCAGCAGCTTCAGTCAGAGTAGATGCTCCAGAAACTCACACAGTTTGTCCAGAGGGCAAAGAGAAGCTCAAGCTTAAGAACCTCTTTGCAATTCGTTTCACGGAAGACAACAGCGAAGAAGAAGAGAACAAGCCGAAATCAGCATCATCAAGCTCTTATGACAAATCCTACATCTGCCCGAGCTGCAAAGTCACTCTCACCAACACAATGTCCCTCGTGGCACTTAGCTCATGCGGACATGTTTTCTGCAAGAAGTGTGCTGAAAAGTTTATGCCTGTCGACAAAGTCTGTCTTGTGTGTGACAAGCCTTGCAAGGACAGGAACTTGGTTGGGTTAAAGAAAGGAGGCACAGGTTTCGCTGAGCACGACGATCATCTTGAGGCTAAGGAGTACAAGCATTTGGGTAGTGGCTCTGGTTTGGGGCTTGTGAGGCCGGTTAAGACATGATGTAACCACAACAAATGTTCTGTATACATTACACTCCTTATGGCCTGTATCCTTTGCTACTACAACTAAGAGACACTGCTTTCTCTATTTTGGCTCTTGATTTTGTCCTTTTAATCAGATCCTATTTGACAATATCTGTGTTCCTTCCCTATACAGAGAAAAGTCCAGTGCTTTTAACTGATAAGTCTCTTAGGAGAGTTAGTTTACTTAGTTGAGACTTGAGACTTGAGACTCGAAGTTTTTGTTTTGAAAAAGATAGTTGAGAGTCAAAACTTCTCTCGAATGTTTTAAATTTGTTTCGTGGTCTTCCATAAATTTAATTTTGATAAAAATTTATTTCAAATTCAGGGGGATATAAAATTGCAAAAAAGATACAAAAACTACATGAACTGTCCAAAATGTTAGCCAATAATTTATCTGAAACACAAAACAGCTTGTAATGATCTCATTTTATAGTTTCTTAGGCACGTATTAATATTTGTTTAATTTCATTTTTACGTGTGGCAGAGACGTTTAGTAAAACATATGATCACACTTTACTAGATTTTTTGTTTAAAGTTTCCATAATGACCCACATAGATAGTGTCAGTGATCGAACCATGCCTTTGACCATGCATCATGCAATCATGCATGTTCATTTGTACAATCTATATATACATTTTTGGAGACATTTATGAAATAAATCATGGAGTTCCACCTTATTTACGAGTCCATGCCATTGATATTTATTATTACTTTTACAAAATTTAAATAAAAGATATTAACCAAATTGATAGATATCTACATTTAAAAATAAATAATATGATATATTCAGTTAATCTTTTAAAAAATAACATTATATTTTTTTAAAAATATAGCTCCGCGGTGTACCACGGGTTAAATTCTAGTTAAATGTTACTTTCTTTCCATTTAATACTTTTTAAATGGCTAAAAATTCCTAACATATTCTTAAATATTGATTTTTTTCTTCATTTCTAGAGATCCTGTTTCAAATTTTTTCTGGCTTCCTTTTTAAAAAAATTGTTCTTAACATATATATTTTTTGAAAAAGTCAAGATGAACACAATATACTATATTTTGATAAAAAAAAAAACAATATGAGAATAAAGTGTTCTTAATACAACTAAAAATAAGAATGATGAACTACAAATATTTTTTCTTTGGAAAGTGGAGCATTCTAAGAACTATATATGTGTGTGTGTTTAATATTAAGAAAACTAGATTATATGGGTTCGTTTTAGGTAAAAAAATCAAATGTTCTTGATAATTACTTCAAATATATCATTTAACAAAAATAATTAAATATATATGACCTTTGTAAACAAAACTTTTGGCTCTGCCATTGATTATTATCAGTTATACGATTTTATTTATCGGCGCTCTTTTTTAGTTTATTATGAGTAGTTTTTCTATATGTATGTAATTCATTTGAAAGACCTTCCTTAGATAAATTATATACCGCTGACTAAAAAAAGATAAATTATACACTTACATAGAGTTATCTATATATGTAATTTCCCCTTAATTTTTGTAGTTAGACTTGGCAACCTAAGGAGCATGAGAGTTTTCCGCATACATGGTGTTATGTTTGATTGTTGCATGTTTTGCGATAGCAAATGCTCATGTAGAAGGTGTCATGGTTGAAGAGCTATCTTTCATGTGCTCTGAATTTATTCAGGTTTTCTTACTTCTTCTTATAATAAATTTGATAACACCAAAAAATTTCATTAATACTATTTTTAACTAAGATTTATAATTTTTTCTTAAGTCATTTATTGTGGGTCTAAGCATAGCCGAGGCTATAATATCGTCATTGAGGCTTATTACCAAAGCGTTATTCGATAGATCTCCAAACTCTCTTCAAAAACGCGCTTATATATCAATCTATGTACTTATTTATTTAACTTGTCAGCGCACTTTTTTTTTTTTGAAATTAGTTATACTATTTAAAATAATTCAAGATCAACTGCACTGCTATTCTTGGCATTTTCGAAGTTGATTGAGTTCATTTGCATTTTTCTCAACATACATATTCTTCAAAAGCTACCACTGGTGAAGTATTATCGAGATCATTTGCATGCTCATCTAAGCCTCATTAACAACTATCTAACTGTTTGTCTTCTAGCAGTTACTCCTAAAAGCAACTACAATGTAAATTGTTCTATGTAAAATTGTAGATGTAACTATTCATGTTTTTTTTAATAGTTTACTTGGCACAAAGATTGTACTTATAGTGATGCAATGATTCCGTTTGTTAATGGATCATGATGATTCTCTTCAATTTGAGGTTTGAATTTTCTTATTTAGTTCAATAATTTGTTTTTTTTAATTAAAAGGTTTATGTCAAAATTAATTAATTAATTTACATCTACTTTCATTTCTAAAATTAGAGTAAATCTCTTAATTATAAATAAAAAATGCTCCTCTTTAATTCTAGGTAATTTTCTCATTAATTAAATAAATAAAATTTCAATGCATGTTTACTATCCAATCTAAGTTTTGAAGATTTGCTTTCCTTAAATCTAGAGAATCCAGTTTGTATGTTACATTTTCCTTTTTTGTTTAAATGGAGAATCCAAATACTATTTTAGTGGTAATTTTATTTTTATATATATATATATATATATTATATATATATATAAAATGGGACATTTTGAAAAACTATCCTAATTATGAGTTTAGTTTTGAAAATATCATTTTTTATTTAAAATAAAAACTACATTTTTATATAGTAATATGATATTTTTTCCAGATTTATGTTAGAATCTATATTTTTAATAAATCAAAACTAAATCAAAATTCGGAGATTAATATAACTGAATTCGGAAAAAATATTAATTATTATGATATATTATTTTAAGAGAGGATGGTTTATTAAAATATTAAGATAATATCTAAAAATATTATAAAGTTTATATGCTTAATCTTATCATGTTATATAAAGCAAAAAAATATCTAAAACTCTAAACATATGAACTCAATTGCAAGGTAAATGTTTAAACTATTACCTACCTAGGCACAAGTTCAGGTGTAACTTTTCATGTGATAGAATATTCACTTTTTAAATAATAGAATATTTATTATTAATGTTTTAAGAAATATTAGGATAACAAATCCTTATACAATATTAAATTAAAAACTTTCTTAAAATAAAACATTTATTTATATTAAAAATCGTTATATCAAAAATTGATTTTTTATTCAAAAATCTAGATTTTGGATAATTGTATTACGTTTAGTAAAGTTGTGTTGGTGATTATGTTTTAGTAAAGTTAATTAAGTAATGTTTTTAAACAATGTAATGTCTATTTTTTTAAAGATTAACTGAAGATATATCATATTAATTTGTATTTTTAAATGTAAATCTGAGATATCTATCTATCAATTTGGTTAATATTTTATTTAAATTTTGTAAACGTAATAATAAATACCAAAGGCATGGACTCGTAAATAAGGTGGACCTCCAGGATTTATTTCATAAATGTCTTCAAAAATGTATATATAGCTAGAGTTTAACCCGCGGTACCACGCGGACTATAAATTTTGAAAATTATCTATTGTTTTGTTGATTTAAATGTACTTATTATATATATAATATATAATATATATATATTACCCCGCATTAACCCGCGGGTCGATTTTTTGATAACTAAAAATTGAAATTTTAAGTTGAATTTATTTTTATTAATATTGTTTGTTTTGTTTAGCATTATTGTATTTTTGATAGTTAATTCTACGATTTCACTCGTAGTACCGCCTCGTATTATATTGATTCAAACCCGTCATAGCATATAATCCGTGTCCCGTGAATTAAACATTATTTGTTATTGTTTTTTATAATATTTTAATTTAAAAAACATATATAATTGAGTCAATTTAAAAGTTTGCTTTAAATGGCTCCCATAATATATATATTTTTAATTTTGATAGAGTTCAAATATCATTAATATAATAAAATTTTTATAAAATTTAAATATTATAAATACTTAAACGTTTTATCATCTTAAATTATTTACAATGTTTAAACTTCTTATAAATTTTTATAAAGTTTAATATTATTAATATTTGAAACTTCATAAAAGTTTTACTATCGACCCAAATTTCATAATTGTTATTTTGGTTGTAATTCTAAGATTTCACTCGTAGTATATCGTTTCCGTATTAATATCGACACAAAACCCGTCACACCATATAATCCCGTCCCGTGAAATTAAACATCATGTATTTTTCTTTTTAATAATAATTTTATTTAGAAGACATATAATTCGAGTCAATTTAAATGTTTGCTTTTAAATTTTCTCTATATTATATATATTTATAATTTTTATAGAGTTCAAATGTTATTAATATATAAACTTTTTTATAGAATTGAAATATTATAGATACTTTAAAAGTTTATAAAAATTTAAATATTTATAATATTTAAATTTCTTATAAGTTTAAAATTAATAATATTTAAAAATCTTATAATGTTAAAATATTCATAATATTTGAAACCTTATGAAATAATAATAATAATCTAAAATAACATATTATTCCATAGACATAAATAATATTTATATATTTGGTAATAATGTTTTTTTGGAGTTAATCTAATTTATAACTAAACAAATTATTTATAGCCAAATGAGTTTGGTTTATAATAAGTAATATAGCAAAATGAGTTTGTCAAATAACGAATAGTAACCATAATTTAATTAATTGTAAATTAAAATAAATATATTAAAAAAATGAATACTTAAAAAAATTGGTTTGTCAAAATTAATTAATATCTTTACGATATTATGGAAAGGATTAGTTATGATTAAGCTATTTTGTTAAGATTTTTTTGGTAATTAATATCTTTGATTTAAATTTTCAAAATTAAATAATTAATGCAGTGGCATTGCTTCGTAAATACTTTCAAACTCCAGGATTTATTTGCTAAGTGTACTCCAAAAATGTATATATAGATTTTTAAATTAGTTGTTTAAAAGAAAATAAAATAGGGATTTTTGAAAAATGTAAAAAGGCTTCCAATTTACGAAACTTAATATCGTTCCTAGTTCGGCCCTTATCGATAAACAAATTTTGGGTCCAATATGCCCATAACGGATTACATCATCTATATAAATAAGTAAACAATATTTATCTCTCTAACCTATTATTTACTTTTGATATTCGACGAAACGATGAAGCC